ACATTTGCCTATGCACACATTTGTCTTCAGCAATCGTGTCAGGAAGGTGTGCATCATGGAATGCCAATTTGATAGAACAAAGTGTTCTTGCATTGAGTAAGTACTTGAGTGGAAGTCCGATGTCCATCTGCTGCCTTAATCCTAAACCTATAAATATGTGCACATAGATCTATTTCCCCACCATCTTATATAAATATATTCACATATGACAGATTTTGTTGTTGTTCTTATGTACAATACTCCTTGCCAACATCATAATTCAAAGGCCACACTTCCTCTTTGGTGTTCTTTGTTAGTCTCCACCTTTCCCGTGCAGATGAGGCAATTGGAAATACCATGGCTTGGGTCAGACATCCCTTGTTCCTTAAAGTGGCATCTTCGCTTTGCAACACATTAAAGAGCTCTTTTGCAGCAGATTTGCTTGGTACAGTATCTCCCCTTTGATTTCTTGATTGCTGCTTCCATGGGCCTTGACTATAGATGCAAGTGAGATCAAATTCTCGACAACTTCACTATGGCCTCTTCATGTTGTGTAGTGTTCACGTTGTGAGAATTTTTTATTCCTTCATGTTAGATATAATCCAGACTGAAGGCTGTAGTCTTTTGTCCATTGAAGCTGTTGGCTTTCCATAGGTGCCCTGACTAATACTGGGGTATTTTCCCTCTATTCCAGTCTTGAGGGCTTTCGTCAAGAAAAGGTGTTGGCCCTGGCTTCAGCCTCCAGTGAAGGCCTTCTGACCACTGACCAGCCTTGCTCTCGGGCCGAGTGCATTGGAAAGTGAACTAGTGCAGATGTGTTTAGGTTCAAGTTCAACACTTGATCATCTGTTCTCCCTTTGGGCCCATTTAAAATGTGTTCTATTTTTTGCTCTTTTAATTATTGTTTTTCTCTATTTTATTATTGTTTTGTTGTTGATTTTATGTTTTTTCATTTATACGAAACCCAAGGTAGGTAAATCTATAGAGATAGTAACTGGATTGAGTTTCTTGGCATTATGGCAGGAAAGGTTGGGAGGGAAATGGGGAGGGAAATGAGTACAAGAAAGAAGAAAAGTTCTAAATTTGATTGTGGTTGTGATTGCACAACTCTTTCTATATGTTTAAACTATTGAATTGTGGGATATGCAAATTATATGTCAATAAAACTATTAAAATTAATATCAAAAAGGGAGGGTGTTAGATTTTATCAAATTCTTCCTCTGCCTCCCTGATCATATGTGCTTCTCTTCCTTTGTTGTACTGATGGGAGTGTCACTTGGATTTTATAATGTTGGACCAATATCTTTATTCCTGGAATAAATCCCATTTGGTCCTGATTGAGGGCTCTTGTTACGCTGTTGAATTTTGTTCACTGGTGTTTTTCTGAGGATGTTTGCATCCATATGCATAACATTGTTAGCCTGCAGTTTATTTCTTTTCTTTCTTTTTTTCCCTTGCGGTGTCGTTGGCTGGTTTGGGTATAAAGGCTATGTTAGGTGCATAGAATGTTCTTTCAGCTTGTCTTTGGGAACAGCTTACACATTTCGAGGGAGCTTTAGACATTTCATGAAAAATATAATCACAAGATAATGGATTTTTAAATGAACTTTTTGAAGCCTCTTCATGTTGTTGTCAATTCTTGCCTGAATGTTTGGTAGAATTCCCCTGCAAAGCCCTTTCGGGGAGGACTGTTTATAAGTAGGGTGGCTTTGAACACTGGGTCTCTGACACTGTCTAGTTCCTCCTCTGTGTGGGTGGGCTATGGGCATCTAAGAATGTGCCCGCTTCCTCTAGCTTATCAAGTTTGTTATTTTGCAACTCATGTCATTTGACAATTCTCTGTATTCCTGATAGGTCAATTGTAATGTCTCTATTTTCATATTTTACTTTAGTTATTTGCATTTTTGGAGGTTTTTTCCTTGTCCGTCTAGCTAAAGGTTTGTCAATTTTATTGATCTTTTAAAAAACCCTCTGGGTTTGTTTGTTTATTTAGTGTAAATCATTTTATTGGGGGCTCTTACAACTCTTATAACAATCCATACATCAATGTATCCAGCACATTTGCATATATGCTGCCATCATCATTATTAAAACATTTTCTTTTCACCTGAGACCTTGGTATCAACTCCTCTTTTTTTCCCTCCCTCTCCCAACCTCCCACTCTCGTGAACCCTTGATACATTATAAATTACTGCTGTTTTCATATCGGACACCATCCCTAGTCTCCCTTCACCCTCGTTTCTGTTGTTTGTCCCCTTCGGTCGCGGTGGGGTGTCGACAGGTCCTGACATCTGGGTTTATTGGTTCTCTGTATTTCTATTTTATTTGTTTCTGTTCTGATCTTTATCACCCCCCGCCCCGCCCTTTTTTTTTCCTCCTGGCATGTTTAGGCTTGGCTTGTTCTTCTCTTTCTAGTTTCTGGAGTGCTTGAGACCTTTATTCTTTATTTTACAGGCATTTATTGCCACAAGCTTCACTCCGTTTACGGCTTTCTCTCTTTCCCATCGGTCTGTGATTAAAAAAAATTCTTCCTTGGCTCCTTGGTAGTTTAATAGCGTATCCTTTCATTCATTTCTGTTTCTGTATTCTCCAGGTTATTGTCTGGTTTTGAGATCTAGCTCTGCTCTGTGGTAGTTCGAGAAGACACTGTCTGAATTTAGTCTTTTCAAATGTATCAAGACACTCTTTGTGCCCTGACATGTGGTTTCTCTTGGAGAATGATCCATCTGCGCTGTAGCTGAGTGTGTATTGTGGTGTGCTTGGGGAGAGAAGTTGTGGAGTGGGCCTATGCTTGGGAAGTCTAATTGTTTGATAGTGTCATTCAGGTCCTCTGTTTCCACATTTATCTTCTTTCCAAATGTTGTTTCCATTTTGGAAAGTAATGTATTGAAGTCTCCAAGTTTTGCAGCACCATTTCTCCCTTCAATTCTACCCATGTTTGCTTTATATATTTTAGGTACCCCAACTTTGGCTGCATATACCCTTATGATTATAATATCTGTTTGATAAATTTTACCCTTTATTATTAAATAATAAATGTATATCTATCTTTATGTCTTCTGATAGATTTTGCCTTAAAGTTCACTTTGATATTAAGATTGTCATCTCAGCTGTATTTTGGTTATTATTTTCATAAAATATATTTTTCCTCATTCTTTTACTTTCAACCTCTTTGTATCCTTGGATTTAAATGGTGTCTTTTGTAAAAAGAATAACTTTGGATCGTGTTTTTAATTCACTCTGCCTTTTGAACACAGCATATTGTTCATTTACATTTCCTTATGGGCTGACTTATCAAGACAGGGTTGGGAAGTTGGGAGAAATGTGTACTTAAAAGTGACCCTTCTACGTATGTTCCTCAGAAGAGTCATTCGTACGAGCAGCTACACTTCATGAGTTATCAGCTCCTGTGAGTTTCAGGGTCCTCCTCTGTGAAGTGAGGAGAGCCCTTGCTCCCTCACAGGTGGTGTGAAGATGGGACGGATTGATACACGTGGCGTCCTTAAGGGCGGTGCCTGACAGAATGAGCTGGAGCAAGGGTTTGCTCCTACTAATATCCTGAGAATCCCACCTTGAGATTCAACCTCTTGTCAGTTACAGGGGCTGGGAGGGTCTTCGTGACTCTCAGCCAGCTGTGTGACACTGAGGTGGGATTCTGTCCCAGCATCCACAGATAGATCTTTAGGGGGAAACTGAGAAGGTTGGTTCAACAATGGGGCCAAATTGCAAGTGCTTCCTCACTGCAGAATAATGCCCATTGGGTTTCCAGGCTGGGTCAATGCTGGTTAGAGACATGCTCCAGCTGTGAGACCTGGTTTGGCTGTAGTTCTCCAGGTGCTGAATGACTGTGAGGGTTGAGGTTGCCTTCATTCAAGTCCTTTTGGTCAGCTTGCCCTCCCCTGGCTGTGTGGAGGCTTGGAGTGGAAACTCCGAGCAGGAAGTGGTTATTAGTTGCCTCGAGTCAGTCCCTGGCTGACTCACAGCAAATTCTTACGTTCCTCTTCACGTGGGTTTCTTGGCTTTCCCTCCTTTTATTTGGGAAAATAAACACAGCACAGCATAGTTTTCTCATGCGTAGTTTGGGCTATAATCTTTGTGGAACTCGATGGCCAGGTAGCTACCGTCTTCCATGGCAGTTCTGATCCAAACAAACCCAGAGCTGCGGGGTCTTGATGGTCGCTGCCGCTTACTCAGGGTGGTTGTTACGTGCCATCGAGGTGGTTCCCACCAATAACGACCCCATGCACAACAGAACAGAACGCTGCATGGCCCTGCACCGCCCTCACAGTTGTTCCTGTGCCTGAATTCATTGTGCCCATGTGTCAATCCATCTTCTTGAGGGTCTCTGTTTTTCTCTGCCCCTCCTTCTCCAGGGACTAGTCTCCCCTGACAACATGTCCAAAGTGTGTAAGATGAAGTCTTACAATAGCCTCTATTGAACCAATATAGCCTCTACTGAACTCAAATACTGAACTCAAACTCTATTGAACCAAAATAGCCTCTATTGAACCCTTTGGCTGTACTTCTTCCAAGACAGAAGTGGGGTGGTGGGGTGGGGGTTATCATTGCCTGGAACACTGTCACCTTTCAGAGCTCCCAGCCACTCACTGCCATTGAGTCCGTTCTGATCTTTAGCCACCTTTACGGACAGAATTGAACGGACCTTGTGGGTTTTCAAGGCAGTAAATCCTTATAGGTATAGAAAGCCTTCTCTTTGTCTTGTAGAGCAGCAGCTAGGTTTGTACTGCCCACCCCATGGCTAGCCAGAGCACCTGCAACCCATTAGAAAGGGCTAGTTAGGGGCAATGAAGTATTTAATATTGACGCCTGTGCTCCTTTCCTGTTGTTTCTCTAACCCAGGGAATTCTAGGGGCCCCACTTAATTTAAACAAGTTCTGCAGAATAATGCAGGCCATAGCGGCAGGGCCGGGAATATACTGTTCGGTGATGAGGGCAAGCGATGCGAGCAGACACTGCCCCGGCGCCTCCTCTCCCTCCTCTCAGGTTCCCCTCTTTTTCAGCAACAGTTCTCCGACGCACCCAACGGAGGCCCTGCCCCTGGGCGGCAGCGATGTAAGTGTTTGCAGCAGGGTGCTGGGCTGGCCGTCCTGGTGAGTCCCCGCAGCCACTCAGGGCCCCTTCTCTCTGCCTGCAGCACCTCCTCCCATCAGCCTCCATCCAGGATGCCCAGCAGTGGCTACACCGCAACCGCTTCTCCCAGTTCTGCCGGCTCTTCGCCAGCTTCTCCGGTGAGTGCCTGTCAACTGGGCCGAGAACCACACGGGTCTTAGGAGCACTTCACAAAGCAAGTACCTTCCCAGGCTGCCTCACCACCCTGCCCTGCAAGGCTGTGGTTTTAGACAAAACGCAGAAGAGGGCCGCCTTCAGTCAAGGGCTAGACACACAAGATCCTGCCCTAGATGTCCCTAGGCCAGGGGACTGTTAGAAAAGTCCATCTAAGTGATTCAGTCGCAATCCCTTTACCTAGTATTCTCCCTACCCCCACCCCACCCCACCCCAAGCCAAGTGGTAACACACAGTTTTATGAATTTCAAAATCCAAGCAAAACTTCTGTGTTGTGAGCAGGCAGGATAATGGTTACTGCAGACATGACGTGTGCAAGGCGAGCGTGAGAGGCCTCTGAGGGACAGACGAGGTTCCACCCCGTGGTCTGCTTGCTGCTCAGACAGGTGCACTCAGACTGGACATACAGTGTAGAAAACTGCATGCATGTGGGGGGGAATGGGAACAGGGGCACATAGTGAGGGCTTACTGGTTTCTCCACCTGACACCTCTTGGGCTGTGACCTTCTGATGTCATTGTGCTTTATGCCCTTTCTCTCCCCATAGACTCTGCGGTGCCTACTGGGAGAGCGAGGCTCTCAGTTTCCCCTTGCTCATTGCATTCCTCATGCCACTTGCAGGACTTGAGAGCTACATTGGGACGGAGCATTTCTCTGTGCCCCACTCATTAGGCTCATTTCCCTGCCTAGGTGCCGACTTGCTGAAGACGTCCCGGGACGACCTGGTTCAGATCTGCGGCACCGCTGACGGGATCCGGCTCTTCAATGCCATTAAAGGCAGGTGGGTGCTGGCTTCCTGGGGAAGCTGCTAGAGGCAGCCACCCGACCCCAGAAAGCCCAGGCTGCAGTCTCCTGGGTTTGAGACAATTGGCCACACTGAGTGGGGTGGGCATGAGGTACCAACTGCAGGTCGAGGTGGGGACTGTGGCGAGGCCATTTCAAAGCAGTGAGATGGTGATAGGAGATTCTTCAGCAGGTCCATCTTAAGGAGCTTTCTCAACTTGACTGGAATCTTCCCATTTGAATTGGATCTTGGACCCTTATTCCTTTCCCCAGGCCCCCAGATACTTGCCCCCAAACTGCCTCTTCCCGGAGGGAAGCCATGGTTATTCACATCCTGTGAGCGGGACTACTTCTGTGATGGTGGAAGTGTCCCGAGACCGCTCTGTCCAGTGTGATAGGCACTAGCCCACCTCCACTCCCCGAAGTGAGCACTTGAACTGAGGATAAAGGACCGTCCAACTGAGTTTTCAATATGACTTAATTCTGTTCACTGTTTTAATAGCAACGCGTGGACGTGGGAATTTTCGTGAGAAAGCATAGGTTTGAACCCTGCAGCTGTGTTTTACAACTGTGCTACTCAGATAAAGTACAGCCCCTCCATGAAAGGTGCTCTCGGTCCCCGCAGCTCTGGAGCAGCCATCTTGACTCCGCCCTGAGGCCTGCCTCATGCGCTTTCCGTTTCTTTGCTGGGACAACAGCCTGCTATGGGACAACCTGGGACAACGGGTCCCTTCTGTGTCTTTCCTCTCTTGCCAGGAACGTGAGGCCCAAGATGACTATCTATGTCTGCCAGGAGTTAGAGCAGAACCGGGTCCCCCTGCAGCAGAAGCAGGACGATGGTGGGGACAGCAGCCTCTGTGGTGAGTTACTGGAGAAGACCCTCTACCTCAGGGCCAGGTAGGAGGCTGCAGAGGAAGAGGAGGACACAGCAGCCATAAGCAGCCCCCTTGCTGAGAATGTCTCCCCGGTGGGCCTCATTCTGGTTTTGTGCAGGAAGGGATTTTTAAGTCTGATCATGGAATTGAACTGTTAGAATGAGAAGCTTCTCCTGGAATATCAGCCTAGCCACCTATTTTCCACCTGAGGAACCTGAGGCCAGAGAGGAGATGTATTCCACCTCACCCCTCAGGCCAGCTCATACTCGTTGGCAGAATGCGCAGTTGGGCTTTCCCTGTGGTTCGAAATAGACAGTGGGCAACCAGCTGCTCTGTTGGAGACTTGATGTGTTAGACAGGGTTCTCTAGAGAAACAAAGCCACAATGGTAATAATTTTATATATATTTATACAGGTATAGATATATAACATAAGAAATAAACAATTAAATTATAAAACAGTACACATGGCTCAGAGCAACTCACTCCCATGAGACACTGGCTGTCCTTCAAGTCTTGAGGGCCGCTGGGTAGTCCTCTGTAGAGCAATTCAGGCTATCTGGGCACAGGCAGCAAACAGCAAGGCAGGTCACCAACAGTCGGCCAGATGACAGAGTCCCACAGTCCCCAGCTCAAGAGATGTAAATTCCAGTGGTGTGGCGAAGCAGGTCTTGAAGGAACCTCAAATCACAGTGACACAGTCCACGGGTTAGGTGTGTAGCTTGCACATTGAGGCACAGAACAAGCAAGGCAGCTGCACACTAGTACCATGATCAAAGAGTAAGAAACAAGAGAGGTGAGGCTCGCCGAGCCATTTACCTCTCCGCCCTTCAATTAATCCCACATGGGTTTATCGGCCAGGTTGGCACCATAAACTAACTACCTCCCTGGATTTCGCTGAAGGTGTTTCCTAGGAAGCTCCCTTTGGCTTTGGGTTGCTGCCCATGTGAAGGGTCCCAGAGCACCTCAAGAGCATGTGACTTTTGGGGGCTGGCAGTGTTGAGGCAGTTCGATGAAGGTAAGGCTACATGCTTTGGGATTAGCTATCCTTGGATACCAGTGCTGGCCTTAGGGCCTGCTGGTCATGTGACTGTGGGCTAACTATCAAGGACTCGACCTCACCTTCTACATGTGCAGGATAAATGTAATAGTCCCTCTCTCCTAGAGCAGTGGGGTTTAAACGAGGTGATGTGTGTAAAGTGCTTTGCTTCTGAGCACCGGTGAGTTCTGCAGGTCTGATGGCTGCCCCAGCTCAACACCTGAGTGGGCAAGCACAACTGTATGTCTTCTGCAGAGAGGCCCAGAGTGCCAGCCCAGCCTGTCTGTCTCTCTCGGCCGCCAGTCTCCCAGATCAGCCACCTTTTCTTGAAAAGCCACTACCTCGTGGGTTTTCCATGTGCGCACTCACTTGCTTTTCATACCCGCCCACACCCCACACCCCACACCCCACACCCATGACGCAATTATTTTTGTTTCCCCTGGAGAACAATGGTTCTCCAGCCCACAGTGGTTGGCTGCCCAAGATCACAGTGTTGCCAGGGCTGGAGCTACAAGGTCCAAACAATCAAGCCCTGGAGCCTGGCTTCAGAGTCCCTACCTGACCCCTGTCCATCTCTAGTGACCCTCTTCTCTCGGACTTGCCTGTGAAGGGGAATCTGAGTTCTGTGTGCTCCCACCCATAGAGAGACCACAACCCAGTGTGAGGTCCTGCCGTCGGCAGCTCTCGGGGCTCATCACATGACTTCACCTCGCTGTATGCCTGAGTGGGTGCTGTCCTCAGGGCTCACCCTACATCTTCGGGGGTTGTAGAAATTGCACAGGTCTTTGGTTCCAGTGCAAGGAGGGGTGGGGTGGATGAGGAGCAGAGTTAGGGCCTGAATCAAGACTCGTCTGCTCTGGGGCCTCTTGTGTTTACTGAGCGTTCTATGCACACCTGAAGAAGCCATGGTGATTAGTGGGCTGCTAACCACAAGGTCAGGGGCTCAAACTCACCAGCTGCTCTACAGGAGAAAGATGAGGTTTTATGTTCTCATAAAGACTGACAGCTTTGGAACCCAAAGGGGCTCTGCCCTATGGGGTCACTATGAGTTAGAATCGACTTGATGACAGTGAGCGAGTCCTCTGAAGGAGTCCTGGTGGCACATTGGAATAAGCATCGGACTACTAACTGCATGGTTAGCAGTTCAAACCTAGCAGCTGCTCTGAGGGAGAAAACGGAGGCTATCTTTTCCCACAAAGATTTAGCCTTGTAAACCCTAGGAAGCAGTCCTGTTGTGTCGAATGGGATTGCTGTCAGTGGAAATTGACTTGATGGCCGCGGCGTGGCTTGGCTGGTGTGGTTTGAATCCCTCTGTGCGGTGGTCAAGTTCAGCCAGAGGCAGAAGAACCGATGATAAGACTGTGCCAGTGTCAGCTGATCGCTCTTTGGATTCCTTTTGCTAGCTGTGCAATTTGATTTAGAGTAAAATCAGATAGCGTGGAACTAACTCCGAAAAGCTGAAAAGTGAAAAACAGGAGTACAATTAAAATTCTGTTAGAAAAAGGAATCTTATTAATGACGCTTGGGATCCTTATCTGGTATTGGAAGGAAGTAGGCAACCACCTAGTTCTTTGATAAAAAATTTGTGGGTCAGCCAGTTTGAAATCCAGGAAAATCATATCTGTTTGTGTGTCTAACCCTGGGGCCTCAACCCATCTCCCATCCCTTCAAAGGGAGCCACTATTTATTTTTAAAATATTGGATCTGTGATGAGATTAAAAAAAACAACCACCAAAAACCAAGGGCTCTTCAATTGAGGTGGAAATTGGGAAATCCTTTACTTAATCCAGCTGTGGTACTTTGGGGAATTAAGGCCACCTAGGGAACTTGCTGGTTTGGGTTTTGAGTAGGAATGTCTGGTTACCTTCTGCCTGCTCACAGCACACACACTCCTGGGGCTTCGCCAGCCAAGCTCTGCATGTGAGGAGGAAGGTCAAGGGGAGAGCTGTGGGGTCTTTCTCACTGGCAACACACTTTCACCGTCACTTCCAATCTCTGCCGCGGGAGCCACCACGAGCCCTTTCAACAGTGGGAAAGGGCCAAGGGCCTGGGACTTTATTCTCCTCCCCTGCACCGTGCTGCCAATCGGGAAGCTTGTTGCCAACACAGATTTCTGTCAGCCCTTTTCCCTCCAGCCCCCACCCCAAATGCGTGTCCTTAGGCGTGGGCTGGTCCAGAACTCTCTGTTTAATGGATCTGGTGCCAGTGCCCGCAGCTGTGGAGCTCCTCCCAGGCAGGTACCTGGTGCAGCCAGATCCCCCTCACTCCCAGCCACCCCGTGCCCCCACCAACCCCTCAAGGCACGGCACCCTTACAAAGCAGTGCACTGATTTCTCAGGGGACTGGTGGAGTGGGAGCAGGCAAGCTCGTGCTAATTTAAATAGCCCCTAAGAACTAGGTACTTGGTCTTTAAAAGGACCTTTCCCTTCCTCTTCAGTGTACCATGCCATCTTTTTGGAAGAGCTGACTGCCTTGGAGTTGATTGAGAAGATTGCCAATCTGTACAGCATCTCTCCTCAGCACATCCACCGAGTCTACCGGCAGGGACCCACAGGTATCCACGTGGTGGTGAATAATGAGGTGAGAGGCACTGTCCCACTCCCCACTCGCTGGCTGGGATGGGGGCAGCAGAGTCTTAGGTCAGTCACACGCCCAGTGGGGATTGGAGTGGCTTTACAAAGATAGCACTGGCTTTCACCTACTGCCCTCTGCTCTCGATTGCAGGGGCTACCTGAAAGGCTCTGTGGGGAGGAGTTCGATCGCCGCATCTGGGCTCTGGATAGTTGCTGCTGAGAACCTGTTATTCCCACCTGGGAAAGGGGCTAGAGATAACCTGGAGCACAAACTCTCTGTCCTCTAGTAACTGAGTCCAGCTATAGAAGGGAGGAGGGGCCTGTCTGTATGGGCAGCAGTCCCCATGCAGGCCTTTCAGAGGAAGAGGACCTGGCCTGAGGGCTGTGTGTGCAGGGGGTGGCTAGCAGGAGAAGTGGCAGTGCCACAGTTTTCCTGGAGGATGGAGCACAATTTATCTGACGCCACTCATGGCTAAGGAGGTGACTGGTACACCACCGAGTGACAAATGTAGACATGATTTGCATGTTTGGATAAGCTTGTTTTAAAAATAAGCTTGTTCACCCTGCTACTCTCTTAATAATAAAACTGAGTGCTGGCTGCACCTGGCTACTGTTCCAAGCTCACATTTACTGACTCATTGAACTCTGAGAATGTGCCCTAGAGCTGGGCACTATCATCTCTCTCTCTGGTGAAACCCAGATTCAATTATTGACAATGAACTTCATGTGCAGCCACTGCCCGTCTATCAGTGGAGGCCTCTGTGTTGCAATGACATGAAACAGAGCTTCCCAACTAAGGCAGACCAGACCCAAAAGGCCGGGTGATTACTTCTGAAAATTAGCCCATGCCAGTGCTTTGTATCGCGACGGCCACACCTCGCCATGCGTCAGGCTGGCATGAGGTGGAGCTGGCTTGAAAGCTGCTAGGAGGGCTTATAGAGGAGACTAGACTTGTGGCTGGGAAATAGAGAAAATGTGGGCTTTGAAATCGGACTGGTTTCCCCTACTACTTTCTGGTGGTTGAGTGACCTTGAGCAAACTTACTTCTTTGAGGCCCAGTTTTCACATGAGACAGGACGGTAGTAAGGATAAATGAGAAATCTTCTCTGGCACCAGGGGACGTTAAGTAAGTGGTGGAGTTCTTGGGGGGCAAACAGTGCTTGGCTGTTAACAGAAAGACTAGAGGTTTGAACTCACTCAGAGGCACCTGAGAAGAAAGATCTGGAAATCTCCTGCACAAGGAGCCACCAGGAACCGACTTGTTCATGCAGGCCCTTGCTTTTGGGGAACACATGATGGACCGATCACAGATCTTTTTAGATTCCATCTGAGTACAATGTAAGGCTTTTAGTGATCTGTATGTTTCTTAAATTGTCATTATTAGTAATAATCCTATTTATAATTACATTGTGCTATTTATAATTACAATCGTTATCAAGCCCTTCAACACCCCACATTTCTTTCTTTTTAAAAAATCATCTTATTGGGGGCTTATACAACTCTTATCACAATCCATTGATCCATCCATTGTGTCAAGCACATTAACATCCCACATTTCACAGGCATTTCGTTTCAATCTTGGAAGTTGAGAAAGTGATTTCCCCCCCACCTCTTTTTCAGTTAGTATAAGAAGTCAAGCAATTTAGAACAGCAGAGAACAAATGTTGAAAGTTCATTACCTTCATCCTGTCGTTTGAGAAGGGTTTCTGTGACGTGTATCCTGTCAACAGACACGCATTCTGTGTATGGGAGTATGTTGGTGGTGGGGTAGAATGAAGACTACTATATTTATCTGCTACTTGCTCTTTTTTGTCACCAAATTGAAATTCCTTCCATATTATTAGCTTAAAATCAAGTATGATAATCTTTCTACAGATCAGCTAAATGAAACCCTGACTACTCCTCTCAGAAAACATCTGGGTAGAATTAGGGTCATGACAGTGGGGGGCGGGGGCATTAAAAAAACATAGGAAAACTGTGTGTGTCATTGGTGCTATACTGCACCCTGACTGGCCTGTCTTCTTCCCACGACCCTTCTGTAAGGGGACGTCCAGTTGCCTACAGATTAGCTTTGGACTTCTACTCCACACTCCCCGCTCATTCCCATTATGTTTTTTGTTCTGGGTCTTTGATGTCTGATACCTGATGATCACATCGATACCTCATGATCACACAGGTTTGTGTACTTCTTCCATGTGGGCTTTGTTGCTTTTCAGCTAGATGGTTGCTTGTTTATCTTCAAGCCTTTAAGAGCCCAGATGCTATATCTTTTGATAGCCGGCACCATCAGCTTTCTTCACCACATTTGCTTATGCACCTGCTTTGTCTTCAGTGATCATGTTGGGAAGGTGAGCATCTCAGAATGCCAGATTATTAGAACAAAGTGTTCTTGTGTTGAGGGAATACTTGAGTAGAGGCCCAATGTCCATCTGCTACCTTAATACTAAACATATAAATATATGTACATAAATATATTTCCCCATCATCATATATAAATATATTTACATATGTACATGCCTGTATTTAGATGATCCTAATTCTACCTTAAAAATCTGACTAGATCAAAGCATGTCCATGGGTACAGATAAGAGCTGGAAACACAGGGAATACAGGACAGATAAACTCCTCGGAACCAATATTGAGAGTAGCCATACCAGGGGGGTAAGGGGAGAAAGGGGGAACAGATCACAGTGACCTACCTATAACCCCCTCCCAGGGGGATGGACAAGGGGGTAAAGAGAGATCGTGCAAGACATGAAAAAATAATAATTTATAAATTATCAAGGGTTTATGAAGGAAGGAGGGAGAGGGAGGGAGGGGAAAAATGAGGAGCTGATACCAAGGGCTCAAGTAGAAAGAAAATGCTTTGAAAATGATGATGGCAACATATGTACAAATGTGCTTGACACAATGGATGGATGTATGGATTGTGATAAGAGTTGTACGAGCCCCCAATAAAATGATTTATTAAAAAAGAAAGAAAGAAAATATCTGGGAAGGTCAAAGTGCCCAGATCAACATTCCCTTGTGGTGGCAAAGGAGGCTTACTACTTTGCATGTAAGGATAACTTTCTGGGAAGGTGAAAGCCAGGACTGCAGTACACTTGCATTTCCACAGATCCCTGAGGAAGGTCCTTCTTAGCTTTTCGTGGGTCCTGAGAGTAGGCAATTAAGCAAGTGAAGCAGAGAGCCGAACTCAAAGCCCGTCTCAGCTTAAGTAGGTGATTCCTGTTCCCTGAAGTCTCTTTGACTCTTAACCCCAACTCAATTGGAAACTTCTGCGACTTAATTGCAGCCTGGCCAGCTGCACAGCCAGCTCCTAGGTTGCAAGGGCACTTGATTAAACGAAAGAGTAAATGATTAAGCCTGAGTGGGCTCTGCTTAGGGCTTTGCATGCCAGGAGCCCTGGAGGGAGCAGGTCCGCAGTATAGAATAATATTGCACACATCATTAGTCTTGTGGGGAGGGGAGGGGACCACACATTGGGCAGTAATCCAGAGCATGCAATACCATTTTCTTGCATTTTCAGTTTGGAAAAAGTTTGCTTTCATGTTGGTGTGTGTGTGTGTGTGTGTGTGTGTGTGTGTTGTGTTTATTCTTTAAATTACATTGTGAAAAGTAGTGGACGTGTGCAAAGAAGTATATGCAGCCTATTTGTACAGCAGTTGGAGAAAAATGAGACTTCCGACTCCTGTAAAGAGCTACCGTCTCGGAAACACACAGTTCTCCCCTGTCCTGCAAGGTCACTGCTAGTCAGTATCAACTTGATGGCAGTGAGTTTGGCTTTGGATGCCAGGAAGGACAAAGTGTCACATTCATTGTCAAAAATAATGCTTCACAGTCCGTCCTGAAGCGCAAGCTCTCAGTCATAGGCTGATCCCACTACACCGACCAGGGAGACCGGTCCATGTGATGGCAACTCAAGCTTCTCATCAACCGATAGTGCAAAAAACGAAGATTTTTACCAACCTGTGTAATCTAAAATTGGGCAGGCATGCCATTACGATCCGTTGATATGCTGGTGATGGGAATGGGAGAGTGGAACAAAGGGTTGGCAGTTGTACAATATGGGCATATGTTGGGGTCTTAAAAATGAAAGAGGAACAATTTATCATCTTTTAATTCTGTTTTCCACAAAGCCTTGAGTTTTGCAAGACCAGAAACAGTTGTTTTCAAGTTCTTTTTTGATGATATAAATGATGATTGTCAGGTGGACTTTGCAGGAGGGAATACGTAGGGATTAAATTGGCCACATCTGTGAGGGAAAAGGACCAAGGAGCTCAATATAATCAGAGCATAGCCAGGAGCCAAATACAGAATGGACCATCAATTGCTCGTGTGTAAGTTCAGGTTGAAGCTGAAGGAAATGAAAAAGCTCCATGAGAGCCAGAATATAACCGCAAGTCTATCCCCCTGAAGTTAGGGACCTTCTCAAGAACAGATGGATGCTCTCCACATTAATGGAAAATTGTGAGATGACAAAAATGTTGTCTGGGATATTCGTTAGTGAAAAAAAAAAGTATATATTGTCTGGGAAGAACCCAAAAGGTCTCTAAAAAGACAAGAAAGAAAGAAAGAAAGAAAGAAAGAAAGAAAGAAAGAAAGAAAAGACCAAAGTGGATGTCGGAAGAAACTTTGCAACTTGACTTTGAGTGTAAGTAGCCAAAGCATCCTGAAGAAATGGTGAAGTAAGAGAGCTGAGCAGAAGATTCGGAGGACAAAGCAAGATGTGCACAGACTAGAGCTGGAAAACCAGGAGGGGACACCACGTGGGGCATTTTTCGAGCTGAAAGAACTAAAAAACTAAATTCAATGCTGAAGAATTCTGTGTAAGTAAATATTGACTCATGCAAGGAGCAGCTAAAGAAAATGGAGAGTCACTGTATCAGAAAGAACCGGTTGATGTGTATGATCAAGAAGCGATGGTGTTTAAAGAAGTTCAAGCTGCACTGAAGGCATTGGCAAAAAACAAAGCAGTAACAATTGACGATACTCTTGAGATGTTCGAACAAACCCAGGTAGCCCTGGAGGTGCTTCTTGTCTATGCCCACAAGTGCGGAAGACAGCAACCTGGCCAAAAGAAACCCACATTGTGACCATCCCTAAGAAGGGTGGTCCAAAATGGGAAAAGATTTTACAGTATCATTAATATCCCACAGAAGTATAATTTTTCTGAAGAGAATTAAGTGATTGTAGCTGCAAATCAACAGAGAACTGCTAGAAATGCATGCTGGGTTCAGGATAGGACATAGAACGTGGACTATCACTGCTGGAATCAGATGGATCTTGGCTGAAAGCAGAGAAGACCAGAAAGATGCTTGCTTGTGTTTTATTTAGTATGAAAAGGCATTGCTTGTATAATATAGACCACAGCAAATTACGGATATCACTATGAAGACTAAGAATTCCAGAACCCTTAATTGTGTTTGTGTGGAACCTGTACATAGACGATGTTAGACAGGGTTCTCTAGAGAAACAAAACAAGGACACTAACAATTTTATATATATTTATATAGATTGATAGATAACATAAGAAATAAACAGTTAACTAAATTATAAAGCAGTACAAATGGCTCAGTACAACTCACTCCCGTGAGACAGTTGTGAGACACTGGCAGTCCTTCAAGTCTTGATGGCCATTGGGTAGTCCTCTGTAGAGCAATTCAGGCTATCTGGGCACAGGCAGCAAACAGCAAGGCGGGTCACCAACAGTCAGCCAGATGACAGGGTCCCACAGTCCCCAGCTCAAGAGATGTATATTCCAGTAGCGTGGCAAAGCAGGTCTTGATGGAACCTCAAATTACAGCGATACACCCCATGGGTTACGTGTCCCACAGGTAGTGTAGCTTGCAAATTGAGGCACAGGACAAGCGAAGACAGCGGCACACTGGTCCGATGATCAAAGAGCAAGAGACAAGAAAGGGGAAGCTCGCCGAGCCACTTTTCGCTCCGCCCTTCAATTAATCCCACATGTGTTCATTGGCCATGTTGGCACAACAAATCTTAACTATCTCATATACCGAAAGGCAATTTTTGGGGGTAGAATACAGGATACTGAGAGGATTAAAATCAGAAAAGGTATGTTTTATCCTTCCACTCTCTTTATTCACTCTTTATGCCGAGCAAATCATCTGAAAGCATAGACCGCATAACGAGAATGCGGTCTCAGGCTTGGAAAAGGAGTCATTAAGAACTTGTGATATGCAGGTGTCACGGCCTTGCGTGTGACAATGCAGAGGACTTACAGAATGTTCTGATGAAGAACAACACCTACAGCCTTCGGTGTGGAGCAAGGACCGCACACCTCACCACAAAGAAAAGGAAACCCTCACCATTGGACTGCTCAGTCGCAACTGGAGTAAAGACCAAAGCTGCCAAGGCTTTCATTTTACTTAGGTCCACAATCAGTGCCCATGGAAGCAGCAGTCAATAGATCAAACAGCGTATTGCATTGGACAAATCCATTGCGAAAGACCTTTAAAAATGGTCAACAACAACAATAACAAAGATGTCACTCCTGAGAAGTAAGGTACACCTGACCCAAACCCTGGTATTTTCAATTGCCTTTATACACACGTGAAACTGAAAACGTAATAAAGAAAAATACCTTTGGATGATGGTGTTGGGGCACAACATTGAACATGCCCAGGAATGTCAGACGAACAGACAACCCTGTTTTGGAAGAAGTACAGGTGTTCCTTAGAAGCACTGAATGAGCACGGTAACAGGGCGGACCAGGACCTGGAGAGGAACATCATGCTTGGTAAATTAAAAGGTCCCAGAAAGGGAAGAAAGAGAGGCAGCCCCTCAATAGGATGAACTGACACCGAGGCGGTAACAATAGACTCAAACCGGACTGAGTTGGCTCAGGGTGGGATGGTGCTCTGTTTTACTGTGCAGAGTCAGGCTCATCTAACAGTATCTAACAACACCTACATCAGGCTAGGAAATAGAATTATCCATAGTTTATTTTATATCCTACTCTTCCACTCCAAGGTAACCTGCTTGTTTGAATTTCCTGTTAATCATTCCCAGCTTTTCCTGGTCATTTTAATCCATAAATTTACACCCTCACCACCTTTGGTCTGCATGGTATTGGCTGAGTGAAAACATTTGACAGTTAGATCTTTTAATACCCACTACCCTTGACTCAATTCTGACACAACCCTGGGTTGTGTTTCCAAGACTACATCTTTATCCGAATGGTCGATGGGCTCAAAATGCTGAGCTTCGCAGCCTCATGGCCCAGTCTACAGTGTTGCTAGACCCTAAAATGACCAAGGCGCCATGGTCATTGTTGCTATGGTGCACATACTCCACAATGCTCATTATAGAACTCGAAAGACATAGTATAATTAGAAAATGCAAAAACAGCAACATGGCAACAAAGCACACAGCCTCCACTAAAAATAGGCAAGACAAAGCAGTTACTGACCACTTGGCTCTGACCCACGCTGGCTGCACATGAGTCGGAGCACGACTCTGCTCCGTGGGCTTTTCTGTGACTGATTTTCTTGGAGGATGATTGTCAGGTCTTCTTCTTACACTGTTGGTGAGCAGGTGAGCCCGCTAGCTGTTGGTACCATTCAGAGCTGTTTTGTAATAAATCTGGCAATCCATGTCCAAAAAAACCAATCAGCCAGGGAGAACTCTACGGAGCAGACAAGTCTTTTCTGACACCCATGTAGGGTCACCATGTGTTGGCTAAGAGGGAACGGTCCACGGCCCCTGTTGAATGTTACCATCTCGGTACCCTGCCGCGTCCCTTTTCCCTCTGAGGTTCCATTGTTTGTATTTTGGACATGTGTACTCTGTTCTCCCTTGATTTGCCACATCCTTTTGTCAGCGGGTGATACCGCGCGGGCATGACTGTGGGTCACGTGGGCACGGCGGCAGTGCTGCCCGTGATGACGGTCCTGTGAACAAGCGGGGCTTTGCAGTACGACCGCATCGCTCAGGGCACGTGTTCTCTCTCTACCCTTTAGATGGTGCAGAATTTTCAAGATGAATCTTGTTTTGTCCTCAGCACATTAAAAGGTAAAGACCACTGTCTCTCTCTCTCTCTTCTCATAAAAATCTGTCCACGTATCCATCAGAGAGGCGGAAGGAGGGCAGATGTAGATGAGGGAGTGGGGCCTGCTGGTCTACACGGCGGCCCTACAAGAGCACGAGTGCTGGCGTGGAAACATCCCCTGAGCAAAAGGAAACGCGTTTCTTGAGAAACGTAGCTCTAGAGATCTTAACTCCAAAGTCATGTCCACAAGGGCAGACCTCCATCATCATGTTCTGTGGGCTTGCTCAGGCCCAGAAACAAAATGCACTTTCCATGTGCTTTTTGCTTTTGACCCGAATATCCTGGGAGACCACAGGTCAGTATTAACAGCTAAGTCTGAAGTCGGAAGGGGCATGGGCTCACCTGCAGAAGGTATGTGAGAGCAGGGGAAGCTTGTGTGGCAGAGGCAGCGAAAGGAAAGAACAGGGATGGCCTCCCCCAGGCCCACGGGGCCTGTCAGCATCAAAGCCCTCCCACCAGGTCATAGGAGTCCCTGGGTGGTGCTCATGGTTAAAGTCCTCACTGCTAACTCAAAGGTTGGAGGTTTGAGTCCACTCAGAGGTGCCTTAGAAAAAGACCAGGCAATCTAATTTTGAAAAATCGGTCCTGGATAATGCTCTGGGACACAGTTACTCTGGCACGCATAGGGCCCCCATGAGGGGACATAGTGGCAACTAATTTTTTTTTAAACTGGTTGTTAGGCCCTGAATCATGAATAAAATCCCTTGCCCTTTTGCTCTGTGGATTAAGATGAGTGATCTCATGGGCTGGGGGCTGTAACAGCCTAAGCCTGGGTGGACATTGGCCCTTTAGGCTTTGGGTCTGGGGTTATGGTGGAAGGACTCATGGTTAAAAGAAAGTCAAAGACAGATGCTGAGGCATGGCCTGAAATACAAGCTCCTATGCAGTCTTATTTTAGTGATATCTACTGATCTCATAGAAGGGTGCCTGCCAGTGCCCTGATCTGTCTTTCATGACGCCCTGATGCCAGCACCTTGCTACTCTCTGCCTGCCAAATGCCCGGCATCTCTCTCTTGCAGCCGAGAGCAGTGACGCCTACCACATCATCCTGAAATGCGGACTCTGAGCAGAAGCAGGATGTGTACCTGCCTCCACCTCCCAGCCCCACGAACCCCCTGGCTGTAGAATTCGCACCTGTGTCAACGGCGGTCTGCCTCACTAGCGGAAGCAGGGCAGCAACTTGTACAGACCCTACAATCATCAATCAGCAGAAACTTGCCATTGCGGTCTCGGGCTATAGAAAGCTAAAGGTTCCTCTCTCCTTCCTCCTGGCCTTCAGCGTTGGAACTATTCCCCGTTCTTTTTCACAACCTAAGGTCAGGTCCCCTAGGCTGCAGTTGAAGCTGGGTCATTGGAGTCTGGATGCACTTCCTTCTCAGCCCTCTGCTGCCTCTAGAGTAAGCTCTGCCTCACCCTCTAGCTGCGGCTTCCCCTCTGGTTTCTGGCTCCCTGAGCAGGTCTGCTTACTGGATGGTGGTGGGTAGTCTGTTACCATTCTCCTGTCACCCTGCTTATTTTCCTTCTAAGGGCCTCTGGTGGTGGGGGGTGTCTCTCCTGTTCTTAGATGGATTGTTGGGAATGGACTGACTTCTGTTCCTTTGCCTTCCTCCCCTTTACCTTCTTTATAAAGATCTGTTGCTGTAAAGATCAGATGTGGGCTTATATTCTTGCAGTGGTGTGTAGCCGCGACACAGATGTGCAGAAAGAACAACGCTAATGGCAGGGGAAAGGAGTCATTGTCAGGCCAATTCTCATGAATAGAAAATGATGAGACCAAAATGGTTCCTTGTGAGTTACTGTCATGTACACACACACACACACACACACACACACACACACTCCTATGTAAAGAGAGATTAGGCCTTCAAAATCCCACTTGGGGAAGATGTTGATTTGCTACTGCTGTATTTGCCAAGTTTCTTAGGGACATTTTATACCCCTCCCCCAACTCTTTGGATTTTTTTTCTCTCCCCATTTGTAAGAGGCACGTTTAAGGTATTTTCCTGCATCAAAATGGTTGGGTTGCCTTTGTGAATGGCCTAGCCCCAGAGCAGTCTCACTATTAGCAATATCAGGAAGGTAGCCCTGGTGGGATAGTGGGTTATGCATTGAGTATAACCGCAGTTCAAAGCCACCAGTTGATCTGCTTGAGAAGGATGAGGCTTGCTGTTCCTGTAAACATTCCCAGCCTTGGAAAGCCAAAAGAGCAGCTCCACTCTGCCCTAGCGGATTGCTCTACGTTGGAATCAATTCAACGGCAACGCGTTTGTGTTTGAAGTGTGGTAGATTCAGGAATTAGTCTTTGCCTCGCCTCTTATTCAGAGAATCTAGTCATTGGTACTGGCCGAGAGCTTTGTCTCTTTGCCATTTTAGGTTCATCCAAAGGATTGGACTCTGATTACCTGAGCAGCTTCTTACAGCCTGTGAGGTATATAGTGCAAGACTCAAAGGTGACCAGCATCCAGGAGACTGGTTACAGAGGAACAAAGTAGCTACCTTACATGACAGAGATAACATGACAGGATAGGATGATGAGGGAACTCTTAATTTGTCATACAACCCAGGACACTTCTGAAAGTGAGAGGAGTCTTTATTAATAATCATGGCAGGACAACAAATATAGTGTCTCAGAGAGTATGTAAGAGTAGACCCCTGATTTTTTTTCTTTTTGCTGGGGAGGGGGTAACAGTTTCATTGAAAGTAATTATGTTACATACCATAAAATTCGCTCTTTTAAAATGTACGATTCAGTTTTGGGTTTTTTTTTAAATCATTGTATTGGGGGCTCGTACAACTCTTAACACAATCCATCCATCCATCCATCCATTGTGTCAAGCACATTTGTACATTTGTTGCCATCATCATTCTCAAAACATTTGCTTTCTACTTAAACTCTTTGTATCAGCTTCTCATTTTGCCCTCCCTCCCCAGCCCCCTCCCTAACAAATCCTTGATAATTTATAAATTATTATTATTTCGCCATGTCTTACACTATCCGATGTCTCCTTTCACCCACTTTTCACACAATTCTAAGTTTTTATATCTGAATATATTCACAGAATTGCACAACCGTCCCCACAGTCAATTTCAAGAACATTTGCTTCACCTCCAACATACCCTGTATCTTTTAGCAATCACCTTTCTGCCTTCTTTCCCCATGGCTCCCTAGTTGTAAGCAGCCACATAGCTGCTTTCCATCTCTATATTTTTGCCTCTTGTGGGTATTTCAGATAAATGGATTCATGTACCATGCAGCCTTTCACTGAGTAGATTTTCAAGCTTCATGTTGTAGCATGTATCAATAGTTTATTACTCTCTCTGGATAAGTAATTATCTGCTATATGGATATGCCACATTTTGTTCATCCATTTATCAGCTAATGGGCATTTGTTGTTTTCATTTTGGGGCTGTTATAAATAATGCTACTATGAATATTTGTGAACAAGTTTTTGTGGGGGGGGGGGCATATGCTTTCTTTGCTTGAGGAATGGAAATGCTGTGTTTAACTCCGTGTTTGAGTTTTTGAGGAACTGCCAAACCGTTTCCCCAAGTGACTGCACCATCTATAAGACTTCCATTTCTCCACCTCCCTACCAACACTTACGGTGTTTTATGATTGTTCTAATAAGCATGAAGTAGTTTTAATTTGCATTTGCCTGATCCTTAATCATGTTGAGTATGTTTTCCTGTGCTAATCGACTCTGTTCAGATACGTTTCCCATTTATAATGGTATCATTTGTCTTTTCCTTTTTTAGTTGTATGAGTTGTTTTATATACAAGTCTTTTTATCTAATATTTGTAATTCACCAAAAAATATCTTCCATTCGGTATGTTTTCTTTTTATTTTCTTGATGTTGCCTTTAGAGCATGAAAGTTTTGGACATCGATGCTGTTTACTTTTTCTTTTGTGACTTGTGTTTTGATGCCACAGCTAAGAAACTATTGCCTGATCGAAGATCAAGATCTGCCCTGTGTTTTAAAAGTTTGACAGTTAAAGCTCTTACATTACGTCTTTGTTCCTTTTGTTTTGCTATATGATGTGTGGTAGTGGTGCGATTTCATTCTCTTGCATGTGCAGATTTGACTGTCCCAGTAGCATTTGTTGAAAACGATGGTTTCTCCATCGGATGTGCCTGGCACCCTTGATCAAGTCTCTTGCTTCTCACCAAGACTCCCTTTCCTTTCTGGGGCATGGTGCTGTCAGTGGAACGCTCGCTGTTTTCTTACTCAGTGCACACTTAGCTCCAGCACGCACCACTGACTTTCCCTTTTATTTCTTGCGATCTTCTCCTTTTACCTGTCTGAGCAATGTTGTTCTGCAATCTTTTCTACCCTGGTCCAGCTTCACATTGCCCTCATTTGCTTTTATGAATGATAACAAAACTGAGTCATAGAGAAATGAACGAATATGCTTAAGGCCCATTACTGGGGCAGCAAGTGGACTGGAATGTTGATCTTTCAGCTTCCTGCCCCTCAAGAAATAAAATGATGGCCACTATAACTAAAAAAATCACTATTCAGGTCCAATCGTGGCAGGCTAAGTTTTCTTAATTCTAAGGAGTGTGCTGGGCTACCATTTTTATTTTTAATTCCGAAGCAGTCTAATAAAGATCTGGGAACTGTATGAGTGGCTCTTCCATTCTTTGCTGCTGCTCCCTGGAGTCTGTGCCCCTGTCTTTCCCTGATGGCTGTGGTTATGTCTTGCAGCGCGATTCCTTGTGCATAAACACGCTTCCTATTCCAGTTACAAATCAATAGAAAATAAGCACCCCCCCACCAAAAAAATAATCCTTGTTTGTTCACTGCCATCGAGTCCACTCTGAGTCATAGCACCCTATAGGACAGAAGAGAAGTTCTGTGGGCTTCCAAGACTAGCACTCTTTTTTCGGGGGGTGCCCAACAACGATCAATTTCTATTCTTTAGGAGAATAGAAATCCCCATTGTTTTCCCCCCTCAGGAATGGTTAGTGATTTTGAATTGCTTACCTTGTGGTTAGCAGACTAACTTTTAACAGCCCACTAGTCCACCAGGGTTCCTTCCAAAAATGCTA